TTTTTTTTTTAACTCTCTGAGCCACAGGACATAAAAAGTGCTGTTTTCCAACACCTGCTGAGTCCCATAAAATCTAAAAAGACAAATAAGTGAGCTGTGCCTATGTTTGACCTGAAGTCTGAGGTCCTGCTGAAGAATATTTTAGGTTATTGTTCACCAAGATAAGTGCGCTGCTTTTGCTCCCCCCTTTTCTCCTTGTCTACTGAGTAACTTCTAATGCAAACAATACCCCATGTTTCCATAGCGACACAGGACAAGCGGCCTTCGAGCACGTGGCCGGTCTGGTTTGATCCTGAGGAGGCCAAAAGCTTAAATTTTCACTTGCTTTGCTTTACTTTGCTGTCATGACCTTCAGGCCTGGAAATGTAGTTGGTGTAATGTACACAGTGCTGCTGCAGGTCGAAACTAAACACCTTAACGGGTGAATGTAGGGTTCACTTACAGCAGTGGGAGGAGCTTGTGGTCTGCTGGTCATCCCCCAGGAAACACTTCATTTGGGGCATTTTTCTGAAGTTTTATACACCAGTTAGGACCTTTTACATGTTTATGGTGGAAAGGCTTCTTTTTGTTTGTTTCTTTAAGAAAAATAAAAATCAGGCATGAAGCTCTCTGGCATTCTGTACCATTGTCATGTAATTATTCTCAGCTTTTCTATTTAATGTTATCCCTCCCGTTAGCACACATGTGGGTATGATTAACTCTTTGGTCCCTGTGAGAGCTGAGGCTTCTGTCTGATATCAGTTTTATTTTGTTTGAGCAGCGGCCTGTTTCAATATGCACGTAGAGCCAAACCTGCTGTCATTTCTAAACACCTGGACTTTATAGCTCAAATATGATTTTGCAGGATTTGTGTCCATGCTCGAAACTCTCTGCAGTTGCAAATGCTTTGGGATGATTTTTATAAATCATTTACATTTTAACTGGCTTTAAATCTAAGGAGGACAGGCAACCTTATCTTACGATTAGTCAGCAAACTAGCAAAAACACTAGCAATAACTTACTCTACTAACTACATTTTCCACAAAAGGTTCAGTAATAGCGCTTCCACCACCACATTATTTATTATATTTTATTACGATGCCATGGTACACACCCTACAATGTTTCCTGTAACCCAAATATGATGCATATAGTGTATGTAGTGTTCTTTTCTTGTATATTGTTTTATTTACTTTTGCACCTTTGTAATCATAATTCTTAATTTTATTGGAGGACAAATGTGTGTGTGTCACCTCAACCCTGCCTTCAGATTTACAGTTATACTTAACAGTACCAAAACCACATTCAATTATGTACATAAGCCTGCTAATTAATTTTAATATCTAATTACCTAATTTTATTTAAATTTATACAGCAAAGCGTTTTAGGCAAAATGAAAAGACAGGAACACCAAATCACAACAGCCGTCGGCTTGAGGCGACTGCTGTTGTGATTTGGCGCTAGATAAATAAAACTGAATTGAATTG